ACACACACACACACACACACACACACACACACACACACACACACACACATAAATAAATAAATAAATGCACATTTGGTTGTAACTCTATATCCACATTGTGCAAAAAGAAAAAAGGGAAAGAAAGGGCATTGGATGAAACGGACAGAAAAAGAAAGACGGGAGGCAAAACAGAGTGAGGATTAGAGCAGAGAAAGGGTAAGGGGAATGGCGAGGTGAATGCAGGGAGATATATGGTATATAGAGCGAAATTGGGGGGAAATAAGCAAGATAAAGGAAGACGAGGGGAGTGGGGAGGAAAGGATAACAAGAGATGAGAGGAACGGAGAGGACAGGATAATAGGGGGAAGAGATGAGAGGGCAGAGAGCAAAACAGCAAGCATGATAGAGATGGCGAGAGAGAGAAAGAGTGAGACAGACAGAGAGGTGCTAGAGAGCAGTGGTGCAGGGTCAGGCTAATTTGAATTTTAATTCACTGTGTGCCAGAGGGCGAAGTGGGAGACAATTTACCACCTGAAAATGGAATTTCAATTTGAGGTCGGGGACAAATTGAACTGAGATGTAGCTACAACATGGCTCTCGCCGCGCCATCTCACACTCGTACATGGGTACAAAAGCACGCCCGCGCGCGTACACACACACTCATGCAGACTCGCATACAGGCGTATTTTACAAGAATGTGCACAAATACAACATTCATGCAAAATGTGGTATGCTTTTCTGCATTTCTCATTCTATATCTTCACTCTAGAGCGTAAAGCTGAAGCAGGTAGAATTGTGCAGTCCATGTCTTTCAGGTCAGGCCTATTCAATATGTTTTTCACATTTTATGAGACAATCTAATGTCTTAATTAAAAACAAAAAGTAATGTGATATCTCGAGGCAGTCAAAACTAGTGCAATCATTCAGTGGATAAGAAGGAAAGATAAAGAGTTTTGATCTCCAGTTTGTATAAAGAAAATTCTCAGTTGTTTTGAATGAGTGAGGAACTCTTAGATGTACCTCAAAACTGTCATCATCATTTTACCATCTCTCCTCCCTCTGTGCATATACTGACTTTTCCCATAGACTGTATATAAAAGATGAAGATAGCACACGTGCACATTCTTTAGCATTGCCAACATGGGGAAATTCTTCAAGTTAAAAAAAGACTTCATAAAAGTCACGCAAAAAAAAATGATACTGTTCACTATATCCTCAGTAAACACATTTCTAGTAAGTTTATAGTCTCAACCACTACACAGCAAATTCAAAAGTGTCAAATGTTTTGGTGTTAGTAGACTTCTTGCAGAAGTAGAGTTAATTTTACTCTAAGTAGAGTCACATTCTTTTAATGTAACTCTGAGGTGTAAAATGATAGTGTGTTGAGTGTTAAAAATGAGTGTTTCTATGTCAAATCTGGAGGTGTTACAATGGAAACTAACTAACTCTTGACCTCTTAACTCCGAACTCCTAGAGGGGCTATGACACTAATAGAGTAAATTCACAGACTCCGCCCCCAGCACCACAGATTCCGATCCAAGCTGAAGTGAAGCCGTTTCAGAACATTTTGCTCTATGTATTTCTGAGTTGTTTGCCATGCTTGGTGAGTCATTTTTTCAAAGATTGTTTCAATTATTATTATTAGCTTTTACTTCTGTGGCTCTTTGGAGTTTAGACAAAGCTGTGTGAAAGGCATTAGCCA